AAGACCAAAGTGACAACCTTCACACTCCTTCACTTAGCTGTCAGCCAAGGCCCCACCAGGAAAAAAGGAACAAATGGAGGTTTCGGTCAGTATCGCTCTGGGGCTTGGTACATTTGTCTGGAAGGGTGGAAGGCCACATGGGAATAAGTACACCCTCTCCCCGGAGATTAATAATACTTGGAAGCTGCTTCCTGCTTTCCCCCAGGAAGGGAGGGAGGAGGGAAATAAAGGCAGGGGTGATGTTTTTAGAGACAGGCACTGGAGTTCCACGGCAAAAGCTGAGGCTAGAGCGGGCCCATCCAGCCGGATCTGGGGCTGTGGACGAGAAGCAACCACTGCTACCAAAGCAGAATACTCTAGATTCTGACTTCTACCCACCAGCAGGACCCATCAGAAAGCTAGAAGCCCAGAAAAGATGCACGGCTGGGCCCCCCTGGCGTGGACAGCCAAGCAGAGGGCAATGGACTCTGGAGCAGCCCACACACCGTGGTTCAATTTGTGGTTGAAAACTCAGGCCACAAATTTCCATACTACTTTTTGATGGAGGAGTTGGTGCTACAAATACTTTTGAGAATGGAAAGCCCTGACTTAGCCATTGTTAACTTTTGTATAAGAAAATAAGGGGGGGAAAGAGAAAAGAAAAGAAGGGAGGGGCTGGAGAGATGGCTCAGTGGTCTAAAGCACCTACTTGGAACAAGCTTGGCAAGGCATCAGGGAACCCCGGTTCAATCCCCCAGCACCACATGCCAGCCAGCCCCGCCCCCTGGTGGGCTGAGCTGGCCACACACACACACCACACTCTCTCTCACTCCCTCTCTCTCTCTCTCTCTCTCTCTCTCTCTCTCTCTCTCAAATAAATTAAAAAAAAAAAAAAAAAAGAAAAGAAGGGAGATTTAAGCTTATCAGCTACCATAAAGTGTAAGTGGGATCTATAATCTTTCTGTATGATTACAATCCACTTGTGTCTGTATGTTTACTAAGAAAGGAAACATACTTCCTTGGAATAGTCAAAGGCTCGCCTTATACTAATCTTCCAAAGCATCCCTGAACCATTTATTCATCCGTCTACCCCTTCCTACACACCAGGCAAAGAAGAAATAAAATTTCCTGCCCCAAGAACATTAATTTTAGTGAACTATGAGTGTATGTTCTAGGAAACAACATGTGTTTAAATGTTTACTAACAGAAAAAAAAATTATTCATTTGAAATAATAGAATGTTCTGTTAACAGTACTTCTGCACACAAAACTTGAAGTAATTAACATAATCACTATGTCCTGTTCTTTTTGTTATTGTTGTCGTCGTTGTTGTTTTACTCTTTTATTTATTTACTTATTTGGTACAAGGTCTCTCTATGCAGCTCAGACTCATAGTGATCCTCCTGTCTCTGCCTCTCCGGCCCTGGGATTACAGCCATGTGCCACCACACCCAGTATTTTTGGCATGCCTAGGGTTCTAGGACTCACACAGTACATGGTACCAGGGATCAAACCCAGGTCCTTACGCTTGCCAGCCAGGCACTCTGAATGCTGAGCTATCTCCCCAGCCCAGTCCTGTTATTCTTTTAGTGGTCAACAATACCAGGGGGAAAACACTGCATTCTCTACATACAGTGTTCCAAGCAATTTAAGAAGGTATTTGGGGGTTTCCTAACAGAAATTATTTAAGCAAGGAAATAATTCAAACAGATTGAGCAGTTGACTTAGATACACAGAAATCGATGTGATTTGGGGGTGCTTCACATAGGAGATATGACAGGTCTCCTGAGGAAATGTCATGACCCTGACCATGGACTGCCCTGCCCGATTGGGTAGGGAAGAGCTGGACTTTAGCCATGTGTCTGGCCAGAGCAGCACAGAGGACAATGACAACATTCGTGGTGGGAGTGATAGGTAACAGCCAATTCCACCCACCAGGGCCTGTCTGTGGGTTCCTGGGGCTAGAAATGTCCCCATGCCATCCCCACATGGCTGTCCCTTCCCTCCAAATACCACCTTTTCCCTGAGGTCTTTCCCACCTTCCACAGCCTCCAGTCCACCCTGTGTCGTAGCCTTTGGACATCTTGTGATGACAAAATCGCATCGCTGATACAGTTACAGTCACAAGTCAGGGCTAATGCTCTGAGAAGCAAACACAAGTGGGGTGACTTTGTTCCTTATGAACATCACGGAGGGCACTCACAAGCATGCAGGTCGCAGAGGTCAACCACCAGGCTTGGCACATAGCTTGGCAGTAAGCATCCCTTGGTAAGAAAGAGTGTACTCTAAAATAACAGTAAAAATGTCAGAGTTCCTATAATGGCTTCAGGGTCAGAGCTAAGAGGACTTGCTCAGCTCCGCCATAAACCTTTGGGTCCACCGGTACGCATACGGTCTGATCCTCACCAGGATGGCACTGGGCATATTGCATTGGCTGCCTTCTTCCCTGTAGAGGACAGCCAGCTCTGCATTTGGGTGCTTGGCACACTGACAATGCTTATGAATATACGGTTGCTGGAGCAATAAACAAACTCCTCCTAAAGAAAGCAACAGAGAAAGGTCCGTTAGTGGTCAGCCATATGTGGGAGGCCACCTATGGAGGGCGTTTCGCAGGAGGCAAAAAAAATGACCAAGATCAGAATAAGAAAAGGGTCTATTCCTGACACAGTACACTGTCAAGAGGAACCTCAGGTCAGTTTCCGAGAAAAATTACACCATAGGGATGAGAGAATGTGTTTCATTTTTGTGGTACTAGAGGGGTTTGCACTAGAGTAGATCCCTGTGGAGGACCACCGGGGCGACTCTCCCTGAAGGAAGAGCCACTGCCTCCATTTTGGCTCAGCCTGACCTATTTCCATGTATTGATATTTACAGAGCCGGCCAGGACTTTTCCTAATCCCTTCCATTGGCTTTAAGCAATGCATATTGGTCCAGCCAAGGTGCTGATGGTAGTCTTTGAAGATGGCAGGCGTGTTTCCCCCAGAACCCCCACGTCTTGCTTGCTTGTGTGAGCTGGGGCAAGACAGGATGAACAGCCCATGCTCCTCCCTGTCTGCTGGGATCAGGCCTGGAGGTAGAGGCTATGACTTCCTGGGGCTTGAAAGATTACACATCAGAGCTGAAGCTCCAGACCCAAATCAACAGCTACTATCCCAGCTGTGTTACGTGGATTATTCTCTGCAGATCCTTCTCTTGAACATAGCAGAGGTGATTTCAGGCCTCCTCCCAGGCCCCGCTCACAGCCTCACCTACTTCCCACTCCTCCTCAAGCTATTCCTCTCTTCATGAATGAATAAAACCCAGGCTTGGCCCAGGGTCAAGGCCTTTGTTATGGATGGCCATCACCAAGGCTGGACGTAGGACCCCAGGGCTCCCCATGACTACAAATATGCCTTGGTGTCTGTATTCTCACCATGGGTTGCACTGGGTGTGGTAGATTGAAATTAACTTGCTAGACCTTCAATAACTTTTCATGGGGTTACAAATATAAACTTTCTGGGCCATGACGAGGACTCTCTATACATCCCCAATTCTAATTTTCTTTTTTTTTTTTTTTTAATTAAAGACAGGATTGCTTGTGTGTGCCTTCACGCCCAGCTGAGATCAGAAGTTTTGTAAGGGAACCAGATGTGGCAAAGGGTCTGAGTTAGCAACTGCAGCTATCTCAGAAATGCACGTTCTGGGGCATCTTTTTCTTAGTAATCTTTAAGGAGCACCTGCTTTGTACCTAAAGTTGCACATCAAAGTTGCAAATTGCTTAGGTCCTTACGCTTGGGCCTCCCCTGAAGGCTCCTTCTCACTGACTGAAAGTTATTTCTGTCCCCTCCTGGTTTGGGTCAGTGTCAGTGTATTGTGCCTATTTAGGACACACTGGGGAGGACTGTTCTCAACAGCAGAATTCTGCTGGTGAGGGTTTTCACCCTTCTGTAGCAAGCAAACACTCACAGTATTTACTGAGATCCTGCTATCTGTCAGGCTCCCAGCCAAGTCCATGGGAACATAGTAGTGAAGAGAAGGTTTGGTTTGTTGATCCCCTCTTTCATAGGGACCAATAAAGGGAAAGGAAAAATATAAGCGAATGATTTCTGTCTAGGCAGACAGCTATCCATATATATGTAAGAGTACCGACAATATGTTGGAACTACTAAGTCCTAAGAAGAAAGATAAAGTGGCCAGGAGGGAGCCTGCAGACTGCAGTATTACAAAGGGCCTGCCAGAGGTGGCCTCCCTAGGATTGTGGATTTGAATCCAGAGACACATCGGTTAGGGCGGGGGCCGATGGATCCAGGCAGAGGAAGAAGGGGCAAAGGTTCCAAGGCAGGAGGAGGGGTAAGGACGGGCAGGGAGCCCATCAGCTTGCAGAGCGAAAAGGATAGAACTGAAAGAGCTGAGGCTGGACGAGTGGGCAGATCAGACAGCGCCATGAGCACCCCGAGCTACCTGGGAACTTGGAAATGCTCGTTCTGGGGCCCCTCTTCGACCTACGGGACCAAACACTGGGGTGGGCCCCGCCGTCTGCGCGCTTAGAAGCCCTCCTGGTGACTGTGCTGCGCCATGAAGTTGGGCGCTCCGTGGAGCACGAAACCCCTCGGCGTTAGGAGTAGTCATCACGGCCCCCCTTTATTCCCGGCCAGGGAGGACAGGGGACACGCCCGGCGCTCCGCTGATCTGCCGGGCGCCGCACCTCGCGCCCGGCGCCGACCGTTCCGCACTCCGCGCTCCCGCCCACCACCGCTTGTCCCAGGCCAGCAGGTGCAAGGCGCCCCCGCCAGGGAGGCCGCTTTAGCCCGCTGAGCCCAGCAGTGTACGGGCGGCCTGGGGACGCGACCTCTTCGCTCTCCCGTCGCCGGGATGCGCGCGGCGACCCAGGTCCCGGGGGACTCGAAGGGGCGGGGACCGCGCGGCCGGGGGCTGGGGATTCGCCGCCGCTTCCCCGGGCAGCGCTGATGCAAAGCCGGGTTGGGGCGCGCGGCTGGGCCAGCGCCCTCTAGGCAGCGGAAGTGGAGCTTGCTGTACATCCGTCCTCCCCGCCTCGCAGAGTTGGGAGAAGGAAGGCTGGGGGGTGTGGAAAATAAAAGGAAAAGTCCCGGCACCATGTAGGGCAGCGCCCCCCGCCCTGGCACCGCTGCCGGCCAGGGACCCCCAAGCTGCGGCCATGAACGCGAGCGGCGAGGCCGAGAGCTTCCCGGGCCCGGTGCAAAGTAAGTGCCGTTCTGGGCGCTGTGCGCGCTCCGGGGCCCGGGCCCAAGCACGCCCGCGACGCAGCCAGCAGGCCCGGGGCCCCGAAATCAGGGTGACGGCTGCAAGCGGCGAGGCGGAGACCTGCGGGCGCGCGGTGCGGGAGGAGCGGGGGAGGGCGGGCCGGGCTGGAGGTGTGTGTGCGCCCCAGCAGGCGCTGGGCGGGACACGGTCACCAGCCGTGGGGGGACCCTGGGGCGGGCGAGGTGGGGGAGGAAGGGCAGGCGGTCGGGACCATCGCCACCCCGGGGTATTCCCACCCCGCCGGGCGGAGTTTGGGAAGCTGGAGGGAGGGAGCGTGTCGGGTAACCAGGGCAACCCTGAGGGGAAAACTTCTGCCTCAGTGGTGCAGATTTGGACCAGCCCAAGGATTGGACGGTCTCCGGCGCGTTACAAAACCTTTTCAGCCTTAGAGGCGGGGGCCTGGATGGGCAGCGTGATCGGGGCCCCTTTCTCTGAGTATAGGGTTTCTTTTCATTTTTTCTGGGGAGGACATCACCCTTTGTGAAGTTCCTGGTTTTGCGCACCCCCCACCCCACCACCACCTGTGCCTCGTGTCCCAGTGTGTGGCCCGAGGAACAGAGTGCACGCCAGCCACCTGGCAGCGTGAGCGTGTGTGGAAAAAAAAGAAAGGAAAATCGAAAAGGCTCGGAGGGCCCCGCCCAGCAGACCTCGGGGGTGGGGCTGGACGGCAGCCTCCTTCGCCGCCTCCCGGCGATGCTGAAGTGCAGAAGTCTCTGAAGACCCCTCACAGCTGATAAGCGCTGAGGTTGGCATTTGTTCTTTTCGGCCCTTTGGAGAGCTGAGCTGCTTGGCGTGGCTGGTCATTCCCCGCACACCTCATGAAAAACACGAATTTCCCCAAAACCCAGCCTCCCCACCTCGTTAGGACTCGGCATCTCCTCGGTGGGTGCTGGGTGCGCTGATAGCCCTGTGGAGAGAGTAACGACCTCACCCCGCAAGACTTTTGGGACGGGGTGGGCGGGGCATGGCCGACCTTTTCCGAGTAGCCTCATTTAATTCTCTCTACAACCCCCAGGAAATAGAAATCGCCCTGCTCATTTTGCAATGAGAAAAACCCGAGTCCAGAGTCACTGTGGGTGACAGCGTGAGGGGCCCAAGGAAGGGGTAGTTCATGACTTAGGCGTGAACCACCCACTCCCCGAAACATGTGGAGTTCAACCCTACCCCCAGCCTAGGTATCAGTCCTGTTCCGTAATTAAGGAATCCCCCCCCCCCCGCACCGCCCATCACTTCCTTTGTCCCCACCTTGTTTTCTCTCGTTACCTTCCTGTCCTGGTAACTCTGGAACTACAGGGCACCTTGATTCACAGGAGGAGGGGTGTCCTCCTTCCATCGCCATGTGCAAGGACTTAGGACAGATCTCTCTTGGAGGGAACACAGACCATCACCATGGGAAGCCCAGGGCCTCTCCGTAATTCCACGGAGAATCTTGCCTTAGACCTGGGAAAAATTGGTCATGACATAAATACAAGTTTTCAGCAAATTAGGTGCATTATATATGCAATTTTAGGTGTGATGAAAATAAAGTATTTTGGAAAGATGATAAATATTTTTCTCCATGTTTCTCCCAAGTATTTTTATAAGCATGAGCTTTCTTATACTAATGCAAAAAAACTAAATAAGGTTCTTTTTTTTGTTTGTTTGTTTGTTGTTGTTGTTGTTTTTGCAGTACCAGGGATTGAACTCAGGACCTTGCACTTGCCAAGCAAGTGCTTATTCTGCTGAGCTATCTCCCAGGCCCCAGGAAGGTTCTTACAGTAAAGACATTAATTCTATTACCTTAGTTAACTAACATTTATGTAATACTTTTTAATACAGTGCCAGAAACATGCTAAGTGCTTTGCAGATATTCACTCTTGGTATCATTGCTAGAAAGAAATAATGTCTTTGTCGATTAAGAATGAATTTTATTGCCTGGCAAGCACAAAGGCCTGAGTTCAATCCCCGGTTCCTCAAAAAAAAAAAAAAAAAAAAGAATGCATTTTAGCAGTAAGTGACAGAAACGTGAAATGTGGTGGCCTAATAAGTCTGGAATTGGTTGCTGCCAAAGCAGAATAGAGGCCCGAGGAAGCAAGTCCAGATGAGTAAAGATCTTAGTATTTTCCTCAGAGTTACAAGATGGCTGCAGAAGCCCTAACGTCATACCTGTACTGAAAGCCAAGAGGAGAGGGAGCCATGCCAGCACTTTCCCTTTTCAGCAGGAATTCCAGACTTTTTCCCGAAGCCCTTCTGGCAGTGTTCTGAAGGGGTTCACAGGTGTGTAAGTGGCAGAGAGTCTTCAGACTCGCGGCCCTGTAGCGGAAGGGTATTTGAAAAGGTCAAGGGTCGGTTTTCATAATGATCTTTTGGTTTGGGCAGGAGAGGCTATTGGTCTGTCCTGCAAACTGTAAGGTGGCCTTACACATCGAAAAAGGTCTTAGGGTGGGGATACAGCTCAGTGACGGAAGCACCTGCCTGGCAAGCACAAGGTGCCAAGTTCAATCCCCAGTACTGAAAAAAAAAAAAAAAAGTCTTGCAAGAAAATATCCACTAGGGCCCACTAGCCACCACCTGCATCTGAGCACAGTGCAGGTGGAACAGAATCAGGTTTCTGTGTGCAGGAAAGAAGAGGGAGGTGGACAGAACACTGGGCCGACTCAGCCCTGCCTGCCCTTCCACCCGCCTCTCATCCAGTTTGTATCATCGCTGAGCACTGCTGGGACTTAACGTGTGCCTTCCTTTGTCCCATGAAGTTGCAGGCAGCACGACGGTGCTGGTGGAGCTGACGCCTGACATCCACATCTGTGGCATCTGCAAGCAGCAGTTTAACAACCTGGACGCCTTCGTAGCCCACAAGCAGAGTGGCTGCCAGCTGACCAGCGCTTCCGGGGCAGCCCCCAGCACGGTCCAGTTCGTATCAGAGGAGACGGTGCCAGCCACCCAGACTCAGACCTCCACCAGAACCATCACTTCTGAGACCCAAACCATCACAGGTACCAGCAGGGTGTCGGGGGCTAGAAGGGGCCTGGCTATAGCTGAGACACCTCAGAGAAACTTGTTAAAATACCTTCCCAGGGCCCACCCCCTAGGGCTGCTGATCCATTATTTTTAACAAGCTCCGCTGGGAAGACAGCTGCCCAGCCAGGCCAGGGAGCTGCTAGGTTTCAACAGTGTTTGCAGTTCAAGGTGTCATCCCGTGGGAAGCAAGACAGACAGAAATCAGGCTTCTAGAACGAAATCTACCGAGAAAGCCTGGCAGGAAAACCATGGCAATAAACAAGGGGTTGTTATGGGTGGTGAGAATACATGTAAGCCTGGAGCTTATATTACCTGTTTGAATGAACAAAAGACAGAGTGATTTTTTAAAAAATCTACAAATAGGCACAGATGATGTCTGTCCTTTTGCTGTTGACGAGGAAGACAGAAAAGCCTATCGGAACCCCCTTCGCTGTTGTGTCCACTCAACCTGTCAATGTTGAAAGATCAAAAAAAAAAAAAAAAAAAAATTCTTTTTTTGGGCTGGCTCAGTCCACCCTGAGGGCAGGACTAGCACAGCATGTGGTGCCGGGATCAAGCCGCGGTCCCCTGCGCTTGTCTAAGCTTGCCTAAGCAGGCACTTTAGACCACCAAGCTATCTCACTGGCCCAAGAGATCAAAACTTTAAATACACAAAATGAGGCCATGAAAGTTCTAGAATAAATGTACACACACACACACACACACACACACACAGATACCTGCCCCCACACTCCCACACTTATACCCATATAATCTGACTAAAGGGGACCAAACAGAAATCTTTATAGAGGAACCCCTTTATGAGATACTATGGTATATGAATATGTAGGAACATAGCACTTTCATAGGGCAATGGAGAAATGTATTCTTTACTTAAAAACATTCAAATTTAAATTTTAAAAATATATTGATGCACCTATCAAAGAAGGCAGGCTGTAGACAGACTCCCCCAAGGAAAAGAATCACACATGGGATCCCAGAGAGGGTTACATTTTTTCCAAAGTAAAAAACGAAGAGTTGAAAGACAAACTTGGGGAAAGATACAGCAGCTGTGAGTAACATCCTTTAGATACCTTACAAAGAACATCTAAAACCAGTAAAAGCAGGAAAGAAGAAGAAGAGGAGGAGGAGGAGGAGGAGGAGGAAAAGGTGGGGGAGGTGGAGGAGGAGGAGGAGGAAAAGGTAGAGGAGGTGGAGGAAAGTGATAAAGTCATGAAGGGCAACAGGTGATGTACAAAGAGCCGCAGAGTCCAAAAGGCTGCGCTGTCGCCTCAGTCATCAAAGAGCTGCAAATTAAAGTAAGGACAGACGCTGCCTTCATTCTCTGGGGGTGTCATTGTGGATAATGGAGACCATTTGGTGGCATCCTTCAAATTTTAAATTTTATCGTTCTGTTTTAACATGTGTCCACACCCACTTGCCAGTCCCACATCTGGATGTTTATCCGCTGAGCCTTCAAAACAGACCTGAACGGCTGTTCCTCTGCAGTTTGGACAGTTCTGTCTGCTGTCTCCTGGGCTGCAGGACCTTGCCATGTTTGCCCCAATGGTGCCACCTTAGTCCCAAGACCTTGAGGTCCGCCATAGTCTGTGCATGCAGGATCTGGCTTCCTAGGACGCTGCTTCCCTCCCTCCCTCAGTGTCTTGTGGCTTGTGAAAGAGCCCTGCATCTTCAGGCCTCAGGCGCCCTTGCAGGCTGTGCTTCTCCTGCCGGGAACCAGCTTGGCTCTCCTTAAGCTCCAGGACTCAGGCTAAGATGTTTCCTCAGCACCCATTGTTGACACTGCACGCAGTCACACCCGACACCCATCCATAACTAGGTTGTTATTTGAGATGTAGAGTTGAGGTCCCCATCACTGCTTCATGGGTACCATGAGGCCAAGGCTGAGGGCCACTTGGCGGCTGCCACTCCCTCTAATGTACAGAAGGGCCCTGGCATGAAGCACAGCCCACCTCGGTGTTGCTCAGTATCACATCCACTGGGGGGCGCTGCTGCTGCTTCCACCCTCCGGATCCCTTACTCAGACCCACTCTTAGATTCCTACCGTCCTGTTTGGCCTTGCAATGCCCAAGTTGTGCGCCCAACGGGACAGGCCTGAGGTTGGTCCTCTCTATGCCCAGCTAAGAGGTTTCTCCTGCCCAGCAAGGAGGGAGGTGCAAGCTGCAGAGCCAGGGTGTTGGGTTCGCATCCTGTCCACTGGCTGGTGGCCCCAGCATGCTGCAGGTTTCTCTCCTCTCAATGAACAGTTCGTGTGTTATTTGAGGACCGTGTGATGGTCCCCATGGTGGCCAGAAGGCGGTCACACTTAGTAATGAAGAGGCAGGCAAACAGGTGGAGCAGAGACTGTGCAGCCTGCCCAAGTCTTGTCGCTGCCTGACTCAGCTGCCTGATGTTGTGGCAGCCACACAAGCAGAGTACTGCTTTTTTCCCTTTTACACCCAGGTTTTCAGGGCCCAGGCTTCACTGTTCTATTAGCGATCTGTTCCCAGACCCCTAGGAGTCTGACAGATGCCGGTGCCTGGCTCCACCTGCACCATCAGCTGTGGAGGGTGCAGCTCAGGCACCTGCATTTTTAACAAGCTGGGGGTGATTCCAGGTCTCACTGCCTGTGCCCACAGTGACTTTCCCAGGTCCCCTCGTTGTTGTTCTTGGCGCAGCACAACCCTTCCTTACTCCCCTCTACCTGGTACTAGTGGAGCACGCAGTAATGTGTACTCTCTGCCCGCTAGCATTAAAAGCCACCAATTGTTTGGCATAAGTTTTCAGAATTTTCACGTAAGAGGAGTTAAAATCAGATGGGGATGCACTGAAAAAATTAGAGCTCTCACATACTTGCAGAATTCATGGGTTAGAATCATGGAACTTTGGAATCAAGCCCCCGGGTTTTTGTTTGGTTTGGGCCTTGGTTGTTCCCAGTACTGAGGTTGGAATCCAGGACCTGTACATGGTAGGCAAGGGTCCCACCTCTGAGCTACACCCCCAGCCTGGTCTCTAAGTTTGAATCTTGACAGATCTTTAGGAATCATATAATGTCGCCAACTCTTAAGAGCCCCCAGTGTCTCATTTTAAAGTGGAAAGACAACAGAGTTTGTTACATAAGAGTCTGGGTTCCTGGGATAGACTGCCTGGGACAGAACCTAGGATATAGCACTTGTGAGCCACAGGACCTTGGCAAGTGACTTACAAGCTGCAATTCTGCCTTCTGCGCAGCGACACCAACAACTTAGAGAAGGTTTAATTTGGCTTACAGCGTTAGAGAACTCCGTCTACTGGCTCCCAAGTAGACACCCTGTGGTGGAAGGCTTAGCTTGCATCACAGCACGTGGAAATAGTGCCAAAGGGAACAGCCCCAGGAACCAGATATGGTATCTAAGGTCATCCTCTGTGACCACACAGACACACCCTCAAGTACACCTTAAGAGCCCTGGGCCTTTCATACCCCAGCCAAGCTGACACATGAGTAACAGTCACGCACTGTGGGGAGAGGGCTGCAGGGAGCCCAGGAGCTGCGCTGTGCTCTTCTGTCCCACGGATACAGTTTCACAGCATCAGGGCCAGACCACATTGGAGTGAGACCATTGTCCAAGTCCAGAAGGATATGGGGCAGCGCCAGTCTTCCCCACTCCCCATTCATCTGAGCGCTGCCTAGGTCTTTGCCAATTAAAGCTTAGGTCATAGAAGTGCACTTGCTCCCAACAACTCCTAATACAGGCTTTCCTAAGCCCTCCCCCAAAAGCATCAAACGTCACACACACACACACACACACACACACACACACACCGCCCAACCTATAGTAAGGTCTACAGAATTCTACGGGAGGTTCCCTCGCTGCAGTGAAGCATAAGCTGATTCAACTACAGGTGTGTCCTGGTCATCTTTGCCCAGAGAACAGTGACATCAGGAAGGCGAGGCCACCTAATTGATTTTAAAAGCCTTCAGAAGGAATCTCAAGGTTCGCTTTGGCCACGAGCTTCGAATCTGTGAAGTTTAGCTCACTAGACTGTTAATCTCCCTGCACGTGGGGGCCCCAGTGAGCCTTGTTGTCTGCCCACGGCCCAGGCCTGGTGCATGCCAGGCCTGCAGTAAAGCTGTCCTGGAGGCAGGGAAGGGCTGCTGGAGGGACTAAACGGGCTAACGTACCCAAAGCATTGGGACATGGCGCTCGTCCATCCCAGGGACCCGGGAAAGGGAATTTCGGGGTATTCGCATGCTTGATGCTGGCGCTGAGATCACAGGGATGCATGCAGCCGGAGAATTCCGAGCTCTTTGCGAGGCAGGAGGAGGACGTGGCCACATGGTGTTCAAGCCCCGCTGTTTGTGACAGATGCAGCATAAAGGTACAAGTATTCACAGTGCAGCTGTCCCAACCAGGAGAGCCAGAGGGAACAAAGTCTGAACGAGATCAAATATCTAACAGGCCTGGGAGATACCTTAGCTTCAGGGAGGAAGCGGGTGGGAAGGGTCCCCAGTGGGTTGGGGCAGTGGAGATGAGTCACAGAGCACCGGCGGTAAGAGCGCTGCTTTAGCTTGGGCTTTCCTTCGTGTTGTCTAACTCGTAATTCAGTCAGACAGTGAGGACTGGGCCCTGACAGTGTACTGCTCAGCTTTTCAGTTGCTGGGACCAAATACCTGACTCATAAAGGCTGGGGCATGAGGTGATTCACGGTCCCAAGGCTTCAGTCCATGGGCAGCTGGCTCTGAGGCAGAAACTGCGTAGTGGGAGGAAGAGGAGGAAAAGCCACTCACTCCATGGCGGCCAGGAAGCAGAGGGCAGAGAAGAGCTGGAGAGGAAGGGGCGGGGACCAGATGGGCCCCAGCGTTGGGACTACAGGACCACCAAGCCCCTCCCCACCCACACACCTGGAAGTGTGTGCCTCACATCTCGTAGGTGGCTCAAGCCAGTCAGGTTGACAATCAAGATTAACTACCCTAAGAAAATGACCAACTACCGAATAATAATAGCTAGTTCTTATC